AGGCCACCACCATTGTAGTAATAGTTTGGTTTTGATAACCTCAGGAATCAAAAAAGCTTCTCATGAATCATGGGAGGTTGAAATGAAACCAACTCGACGGGATAGGTGGCAAGTTCTGGGGTGGTTTTTGTTACGGTCAAAGAAGTTGAGCACCTGACGCATCTGGGCTTTTGCACCGTCCTGTTGCTGTTCCCCAAGATGCCCCCTTTCACATGCGAAAGATGTGCACCGTAGTCCGTACGGCTTGGATGCCTGGGTTCCCCAGAGCAGACCAGAACCAGTCAGCCCAGCCTCCAAGCACGACTCCAAAAAAGAGTCCCGGCCGTGCACAGTAGACCGGAAATGGCCTGTGAGAAGGGGAACTTGTACTGTGTATTCGACTATTCGTACGAGTGCGGAGGAACAGCAGAGGGCGGCAACGAAAAAGAGGGGACGGCAATGCAAGTAGATCCTCGGTCAGGTGCTAAAAGTTCCGGACTGGGCAATCATCTGACCTGCACCTCTTGTGTGGGGGATAGGTGAGGGGGGTTAGTGAGACTTACCTTACACGACTTTAGTACCTGTGGTGGCTATGCCTCTCTTGCTCGTAGCTTCGCTCGTGAAGATTCGACGGTGCTCGACCAGCCGCAGCTTCGATGCAGCCGCACAGTCTGGAGGGGCTGGAGAAGGGTTTTAGAACGCGTCCCATGGGTATGGGCTCGCAGACGGGTTTATGCCCGTGAAGATGTCGATTACCCGTTCACCTTGTTGACACGAGGCATGTGGTAGGCCTCGCCCACGCACCCACGATTGTGGGGGCGGGAAGGCGACGCCAGACTCGCCAATTTGCTGTTAGAGATTTGACGGCAGACATTTAGTTTGGTAGCCTCTGCCTCTCAGACGGGTACCGGTAGACAGGCGGTTCGAGGTCAGTCAGCTGCATGAGCTCGAGCACGAGGGTATGCCCGTGACCTTGGGATGCACCTTGCGTGCTAGTGGTAAAGTGAGCGGTCTTCACATGTCAGAGGCAAACGATGGACGGCTCGAAAAAAGTCCTGAAACTGTCACAAAATTTCTTCATAGCCTTTTCTGCGGCAGCTTACTCCCACAAATTTGACTCGTGAAAGTGCACTACCTAACTCCATACACAGTTGGAGCTAAGGCCCGGCGCAGGCGTGGCAGGTGAACCGGTCTGTCATCCCTTCTCGAGAGAGAGCCTCAAGTGCATCTCTTGGAGTTTTGGGTCGAACGGCTTCAACATGTCTAATGCCCCCTCTTCCGTTGGTCAGTTCGGTAAGGTATACGGAGTGTATCCGTAGAGGTACCTCAGTCAGTAATAGACGGGGACGGGGGGGAACTTTAGCAGCCAGACGGGGAATTCGAGACTTTTAGAACATCCCCCACAGTTTCCCCCAGTTTTGCACGTCGCGGTCCACCACCGAGGGAAGCGAACGCGGGTCCAGTCTCGGCCAGAATTACTGCGAGCAGCCAACAAGTGTATGGGGTCTCTTCATGCCAGAGGAGCAGTTCAGTTGCAATAACCTCCGCAGACCGGACGCAATTGCCTGTTCGTGGTAGACACGATATAGAGGAAACCTTTCTCATGATGCGCAATTGGGGAAATAAACTGCACGTGTAGAAAACACTCAATTGAGAATCTCTCTCTCTTGTCGGTCTCGGCTTCCCCACACCTCTAAGGGAAAGAAAAAAAAGTGTCCCATTGTTTCTTTGTATCCCTCGGACCACTGCCACCGCTTGACCAAAAGGCTCATTCTTACTGGTACGTTCATCAAGTCCCCCCCGTTTAGTGACGCCAATCCTCCTCACCCCAGGCCCCAGACCGTCCCTTTCCCCGACCCCCAATTCTGAGTCTCTGACCCAAACTCGGCCCAAAACCCACTAGCACCGCGGGCAAGCCCAGCCGTGGACTCGTGTGTGCGGCGTGCCATGGAAGTCCCCAGTGCGAAGTTGCACCCCCTGCTTTCTGCTTTTCCCACCGGCGCTTCGACCTCGGCTCACGAATCGCCGTGTCAGCGACGCTCTCTCTGCCACTCTGCCACTCTCCCGTCTGCGCGCACCACCTCACGCAACCAGACGAGTCGTCTCCGTACCACTGTATCCCGTACCGTCCCATACGGTATACCCCCCCAGGTCCCTTGCGGATACCACCACCTGCACCTGCCTTCGGCCCCAGACCCGCGTCGTCCTTGTGCCTTTGTTCCCCATCTTCCCTCGGCGTAGCAACGAGACGAAAGGCACCGCTCCTCTTCTCGTTTTGTTCTTAAACCTCTCCATCCAAATTCTCTTCCTCCCCCACCAACTTTCCCTTTCCCCATCTTGTTTGTTTGTTCTCCATCCTGTCCTTTGGAGCGCATCAATACCATCACATCAATCAAAATGGCACCCAGAGTTATCGTCGTTGGCGGTGGTCGTAAGTTACCTCTACACTTCTTGCTCCCGCCTCTCTCAGTCTTACCACTCTCTCTGCCGCGGCCAATGTCGGCCTCGTCTTACCCGCTCACATGCTAATCCGTACTGCCAGTGTCCGGCTTGAGTGCCGCGCACACCATCTACCTCGCAGGAGGCAACGTTGTCGTTCTCGACAAGCAGGGTAAGTCTAATACACCCATTACTCCCAAATTCCCTTTGGCTGTCGCAAAGCTCACGCTCGTATCACATAGGCTTCTTCGGAGGCAACTCCACAAAGGCCACCTCTGGCATCAACGGTGCCTTGACGAGGACACAGGTCGACACCGGAATCGCCGACAGCGTCAAGCAATTCTATGATGATACCCTCAAGTCTGCCCGTGACAAGGCCCGTCCCGACCTCATCAAGGTCCTCACCTACAAGTCCGCTGCTGCCGTCGAATGGCTTCAGGATGTCTTCAACCTGGACCTTACTCTCGTTTCGCGGTTAGGGTACGTCAATTGCAAACCTATCATGCCATATACCATCAAGAGTCTAACAAATCACACAGAGGTCACTCCCAGCCCCGTACCCACCGTGGTCACGATGCCAAGTTCCCCGGTATGGCCATCACCTATGCCCTCATGCAGAGACTCGAGGAGCTCGCCGAGACCGAGCCCGAGCGTGTCGAGATCATCAAGAAGGCCCGCGTTACCGGCCTGAACAAGGACGGCAACACCATCACCGGTGTTTCATACGAGTTCAATGGCGAGGAGCAAAAGGTTGACGGCCCTGTCATTCTTGCCACTGGTGGTTACGCTGCCGACTTTGGCGAAACCTCCCTCCTCAAGAAGCACCGTCCCGATACCTTCGGCCTCGCCACCACCAACGGCACCCACGCCACTGGTGACGGTCAGAAGATGGTCATGGCCATCGGCGGTAACGGTATCGACATGGACAAGGTCCAGGTCCACCCTACTGGTCTGGTCGACCCCAAGGACCCCGGCTCCAAGTGGAAGTTCTTGGCTGCTGAGGCCCTCCGTGGTGAGGGTGGTCTCCTCCTCAATGCCGACGGTGACCGGTTCTGCGACGAGCTGGGCCACCGTGACTACGTCTCCGGCATGATGTGGAAGGAGAAGGACAACAACAAGTTTCCCATCAGACTCATCCTTAACTCCAAGGCCTCCAAGGTCCTTGACTTCCATACTCGCCATTACTCTGGCCGTGGTCTGATGAAGAAGATGACCGGTGCTGAGTTGGCCAAGGAGATTGGCTGCTCCCCCGACCACCTCCAGAAGACCTTCACCACCTACAACTCCATTGCCGATGGCAAGCAGAAGGACCCTTGGGGCAAGAAGTTTTTCCACAATTTCCCCGTTGACATCAACGACGACTTCCACGTCGCCTTGATGGAGCCTGTTCTTCACTTCACCATGGGTGGTATCGAGATCAACGACAAGGCCCAGGTCTTGAACACCGAACAGAAGCCCTTCGATGGTCTGTTCGCCTGCGGTGAGCTTGCCGGTGGTGTTCACGGTGCCAACCGTCTTGGTGGTTCTTCCCTGCTTGGCTGTGTCGTCTACGGCCGTGTCGCCGGTGACACCGCCAGCAACTACCTCTTCCAACAGGCCCTTAACGGCGCAGGGGGTGCCGCCTCCCGTCTCGGCCAGATCTCTCTGCACCTGGACCCCGCCCAGCCTGGTCGTGTCACAATCGACTGGAACAACGGCGGTGGCTCCGGTGGCCAGGGTATCCCTGCCCAGCAGACCACATCAGCCGCCGGCCCCACGCCCGAGAAGGCGGACGGCCAGAAGGCCTCCAAGCCCAACAACCCCAAGGAGTTCACAGTTCCTGAGAAGGAGTTCTCCATGGAGGAGGTCGCCAAGCACAACACCAAGGAGGACCTGTGGGTCGTCGTCAAGGGTGTGGTGATGGACCTCTCCAACTGGCTCGAGGAGCACCCCGGTGGACCCCAGGCCATTATGAACTTCATGGGCCGTGATGCCACCGAGGAGTTTGAGATGCTGCACGACGACGAGGTTATCCCCAAGTACGCACCACAGCAGGTGATTGGCCGCGTCAAGGGCCAGACGCCGAGTTTGGAGCTGTAAATTTTGAGACGATCACCTACGACGAGCGCACGACGGAATCTTGGCTTTGGGTAAAACAGTGATAACCGGAGTAATGGGTGCGCATTGGCGCGCTTTTTTGAATTTGGGCATTTTTCTCACATCTTGGGAATGTATTCATAGATACATGTTGTAGTCTCTTGGATTCAATGGAACTCCAAACTTCCTGTTCACTTGATTGACTTGACTTATTCGCCATGAGATACATGTGACTGTGACTTGCTCTACTGACTATGCCTGACAGATTACTTAGTTACTCGTATACTGACTGCCCTCAATGTCGTCCCATGGGTTAAAGCTAAAAGCCGACTAAAATCTCGACCAGCGGGAGAGAGTAAGTGGCCTAGCCAAAATAAGACGACAACTTTACATCACCCCTACGCTCTTTGCATTTCAATGGTGTCTCTGGACCTTTGCGATTCCTAATCTACACATTTCAGAATCTTGGCAGTGCACTATTACGGGATACCGGACGACGACAACGGTAAAAGCAGAATTCACACCTGTATTGATTATTACTATGTTTCTTCATATGAACAACACCCAGCTGACTACACAACCACTTGATGTAGACGCGTCAGACCCATCGCACCTCCCTTCTCTCAAGATGTCTCTTCCGTCTCCTCTTCCTTGAGCGGCTTTCTCGCATGAATGACATACCTACATTATCCATCAGCACAGTACAAAAGTCGGTGTTGTGGGGGGAGGCGGAATTCTGAAGAAGAAGAAGAAGAAGAAAAATAGACTTACACGGGATTATACGCATGTATACCCCTATCCTTCAACTCCCTCCTCACACTAATCAAAAAGACATTCACCTCCTCTTTAGTCCACTCGAGCGCCCTCGTAAAAGGCGCCATGCTGAACCCTTCGAGCCCTTCCATCCAGTTCTCGAGACACCAGATGCCGAGCTCTCTGTAGTGGGGATCCTTTGGCCACGAGTTGATGGGCCACTTGAACTTGTGGATCGACACGTCTCGGAAGCCGACTTCTTCGAGGAGGGGCTTGAGACCGGGGCAGTCGATGTAAGGGCGGCCAAACATGTTGCAGGCCTCCTCGAGCTTGTCGACCCACTCGAGGAGGGGGCTGTCGGGTTTGAGGGTGCCGTCGTCGCACTCGGGGCGCATGTGGCCTTCTTGGAGCTCGAGGTAGCCGCCTGGTTCGAGGTTACTGTGGGAGTTTGGGAGTGTGGTCAGTTTTTTCTGGCGTCAGGGGTGGGAGGATGAGACGGGTCTGCGGAAAGATGTTTCTCTCTCTCTCTCTCTCTCTCTCTTTCTTTCTTACTCGTATGATTGTTGGAAGAATTTGTTCCAGTCCGAGATGCTTGAGGTCATGATGCGCGTGTGGATGTAGTCAAACTTTTTGCTGTACGTCCACGGTTCCTCGACGTCATCGACCTCGAACTTGACGTTTGGCGGAACGCTGAAGTTGAAGGGTGTGTCAGTGGAGGCGCTTATGCGAGGTAGTAGTAAGTAGTTGAAGGGTGAAAACCGTACAACGCTGTTGGAGTCGGAGAAAGGTCGATCCCAAGAACCTAAAGCACGAAAGATTAGCCCCTTGATTCGCGTTTTCTCATCGAGATAATGTTCCAAGGGGGGGGGAAGCAAGGCAATCGTTAGTCACCTCGGCATCGGGATGCTCATCGCCGAATTCGATACACCAGAGCCCGGTACCGGTGCCAACGTCCAGAACGCGCTTGACTTTGGACTCGAGCTGGGCGGGCGGGGCGAGACCGAGCTTGTAGTTCAGCGTGAGGAGGAAAATGTTGTGTTGTAGGTCTGAAAGAGTCTTATAAGCCTTATTGGGGCCAAAGGAGCACGGTAAGAAGTAAGATGCGCGATAGCGAGAACTCTTACCTAGCCGGTCATTCTCCTTTTCATCGTTAGGGTAAACGTATTCTTTAAGCCATGTTAGTACCAGGAAGGTGGGACGAATCATGGAGAGGAAAGTCCTTACGGCCATCTTTGTAACGGTGGTAGGTTCTGCCGTTCTCGATGCGATGGTTCATGATTGAGCTTGCCAAACTTGTGCTGGAAGACGCGATGCTCTACGCGCGGTTAGCAATGTAAGACTCAGAGAAAAGACTTCTCGTGATTCTCGCATTGTCAGTGAGAGGGTGGTACTTACAGTCGCTCGGTCCGAGGAGCTTTCATCACCGCTCTGAAATCAGTGGTCAGCAACTCTGATAAAAACAAAGTGAAGCAGACAGGTCCTGGGTAAGAAGAATTGCTCACAAAGTCTTCGTCGGCCACAATGACCGGACCATCGTCGACAGGCTGCTGCTGATCGTTACACATGGTCGCCGAAATCACTCAAAGTGGAAGATTTTTATACTGCAGTCGTTGTAATGAGACAACAAAGGACAGAGGGACAACAAAAACAAGAGCGGGGGAATGCGACATGAAGAACCTCTACTCTACTGGCCAAACTCCCCCAACTGTTTATCATCTCTCAAGTGGAACGAGCCATGTTTTGTTTGCATAACCCCTCTTTCTTGCCCGGTTGGAGACCGCATCATGCACGTTGGTGGCAAGCGGATTGTGTTGGTGGAGACATGTGTGCCCTTTCCGAGTTCCCAACAACAAGAGTCCGCGAGCGTATTAGGAAACTACCAACTTGTCCCGAGGTACGTTGGAAAGGAGCAATCTTTGACGGGGTCGGACTTTTCTCCAGGAATGGCTAAAGGGCCCTTCGTCACCGTCGCGATCCTGAGCCAGATAGGCGGCGAATAAACACTGCTTGCTGGCATGGGGAGGTAACATGATATGGATTTGGTCTATAAAGAGAAGGAGGAGAATTCGCACCTTTTTTGGGTTTTGCTGGAGATAAACCAGCCTCAATTCCTTCCTATGCTTGGAAGTTTCAATCCCTGGGCAGATGGCCGGATCCAATATCATTGAGCCCGGTTTGTCGTTGTCGTCGGCGCTGGCGATCAGCGAGTATCTTTCGGATCAAAGACCGATTCCCTCACATTAAATTTCCCAGATCCTGCCAAATCCTTACCAAACGCTTATAAAAGAGGACGGGACGAGTAAATTTCCAGCCGCTGAATCTTCAAACTTTCCAACATGACCTCCAGTCTTTTGTTTCGATTAACGAAACGGACAAGTTCCCTAGAGAGGTTTAAAGAAAAGCTATAATTTAGCTAAATATATTTATTAATAAAAAGATAGAGTAAGAAAATAACGATATATTATATATTATTCTTTATCCCGTTAGCTTCTTTTTTATTGAGATATTTTAAATTTAAATAATAAAGCCCTTAAAAGAACCGTTTTATTACCTAGGAACCTCTAGTCTCGTATAATATCACTAATAATAAACGGACAAATCTATAATTTATCTTTGTAGTTTTATTAAAATAGATAATGTAGGGGCTATATAAATAAGACTATTTAACAATGTAAAGGCGATAGCAAGTTCATTTTATTTCCTTATATACAAGCCACCATCATTGCCATTCGGATGAAGACAAGACATTACCACGTAACCTATTCGACCACAGAGCTCCAAAAAAAAACCACTCGTACCAAGATTGAAGATCCAAGCAGAAACCCGAACCCACAACTTCCACCCCCTTATCACAGAAACATGTGCAACATCCAGCAATACGCCTGCAATCAATGCCACCGCCTCAAGAAAATCATCCTGACACACTGTCAACCAGTCAAGCACGGCGACCACGTCCCCCCCCAGTGGCTACATGTTGTAGTCTCTTGGATTCAATGGAACTCCAAACTTCCTGTTCACTTGATATTCCTCCTCTTATTTCAGACAAAGTGATTGATCCCGTGGAATGTGCAGTAGCGAATTATGATGAGTAAGTCATGACGAGTGTTGTGCCGCAGCTTGACTACAGGCAAGCTCAAAGGTACATCATCAGTCCAAGGCTGGCTCTTCATCCTCATACGACTCATCAGTCAAAGTCTACCAAAGCACTAGAAATCACTCCCCACACAGGTTCACAATCCCAGTGGTGTGCCCTCCAAGGCACGTTGAACGGAGGTTTAGGACACGAAAGATCAATTATGCCATTGGCTGTTGTGGGTGAAAGCAATCTCGCCCGATGCCATGATGAAATTACTGAGTTTTCGAGGAGTATGATACGAAGAGCTTTTACTTTCAACGCGAACCCCCGGATATTACACACTCTGAGACTGAAGTAGACAATGTCAATCAGTCTTGGATAACTTGCGGCGAGTTGCAGGTCTACTTGTGAGCGTGTAATTCATTTTATCATCACCATGTCCAACATGATTGTCACTAGCTAGCTAAGTTCAAACCCCTTCCACATCAACTTCAGAACTGGATTGCCTCGATTCTCTTCAGGACGCCTCTTCGTCATCCTCAGCAGGCTTGAGCGGCTTTCTCGCGTGGATCATGTACCTGCGGAATTTTTCAGCGGTGTCGAGATGGAAAGTGTGTTTTAGTGAAAGGCGAAGTATAGCAGCCCAACAAGGAGGCCCGGGGAGGGGTTGAGGAGGACTTACACGGGAATATAGGCATGCACATTCTTGTTCTTCAACTCGTTTCGAACACTGATGAGGAAGACACTCACCTCCTCTTTCGTCCAGTCGAGCGCTCTGGTGAAGGGGGCCATGCTCCAGGCCTCGACGCCCTCCAGCATGTTTTCGAGGTTCCAGATGCCGAGCTCTCTGTAGTAAGGATCCTTGGGCCACGCGTTGATCGGCCACTTGTACTTTGTCACCGAGACGTCTTCGAAGCCGACCTCCTCAAGCAGCGGCTTGAGGCTCGGGCAGTTGATGAACGGACGCCCAAAGATATTGCAGGCCTCTTCCAGCCTGTCGACCCACTCGATGAGCGGGCTGGTGGGCTTGAGGGTGTCGTCATCGCAGTCGGGCCTTATGTGGCCTTCTTGGAGCTCGATGTATCCTCCGGGCTCGAGGAAGCTAGATTTAGATGGGCTGGTGTTAGCTTTGGGCCGACGGCCGTGTTTTTATGGGTGAGAGAGCGGGTGTTCAACTTAACTTGTAAGATTGCTTGAAGAACCTCTTCCAGTCGGCGATGCTAGAAGTCATGGCGCGCGTGTGGATGTAGTCAAACTTTGTGTGGTACGTCCAAGGTTCCTCGAGGTCGTCAACCTCGAACTTGACGTTGGGCGGAACGCTGTACACCAAAGGTTTTAGTTAAAGTGACTTTGCCATTGTTTTTTTCTTTTTTCCTTTCATCAGAATCAAACCGTACAATGCTGTTTGAGCTGGAGACAGATCGATGCCAACAACCTACAAACAAATCAGGAGAAAGAATCAGCACTACTGCCTACGTCGATTCAAGATGGCCAAAGGATCTTGTACTGACCTCGGCATCAGGATGTTCATCGCCGAACTCTATGCACCAGATTCCAGTGCCGGTTCCCACGTCCAAGACACGTTTGACCTTGGATCCGGGCTGAGCCGGCGGAGTAAGACCAAGCTTGTAGTCGAGCGTGAGAAGGAAGATGTTATGTTGAAGGTCTGGGGGGAGGAGATTTGTGAGTTGAGACTGTTCACGAGGACATGGGCAAGCATGTATCAGCCCTACCTAGCCTGTCATTCTCCTTCTCGTCATTGGGGTAGCTGTATTCTATACCCTGTCAGCCATGGAGGAGTGGTGGCCCGAGGAGGCATACGTACGGCCATCTTTATATCTGTGGTAGGTTCTGCCATTTTCGATACGGTGGTTCATGATCGAGCTTGCCAAGCTCGTGCTGGAAGATGCGATGCTCTGTAAGTGGTCAAGACCGTCACTGTCAGCAAAGGCATCACACGGTGAATAGTCATGAAGCGCGTATACTTACAGTCGCCCGGTCTGATGAGCTGTCATCGGCATTCTGAAGTAGATGGTTAGAAAGTCCGGCCTGAGGCAAGTGCAAGGCTAGCAGTGGATAAAGACTGAGAACGAGCTTACAAAGTCATGGGCGATGATGATGGGGCCATTATCGCCGCCAGGCTGTTGTTGCTCGTTGGACATCATGGTTACGAACTAGGAATGCTCATGCTACGGATTCCGATGAAGAAGCGATACGGACGAGGATTTGATGTGAAATTCGATAGCATAACGTTTCTTTGTTAAATCCGGCGCGCAAAGGCGCAAACTAATGTTTGTGTGACCCCTCTTCTTGAACTGGCACCACTGGCATCGATTATGCACGTTGGTGGCAAGGGGGACCGATCTGTTGGTGGAGACGCTGTGTGTTTTCTCAAGTTCCAACAAAACAGCAAGGGTTCGCAAACGTATTAGGAAAGCAGAACGCAACCCAGTCCCGAGGTTAAGTACGTAGAGGCGAAGAGGAATATTCAACGTGTACATTGGCGATCGGTCGTGTTTCCCGGAATGGCTAAAGTGCCTCGTCACTACATGAGATCCTCAACCGGATGGCCAGGACAAGCAAACATTGCAGAGACTATCCTATCCGTCCACCATCGTGCCCTCGCGCCATCTTTTTTCCCAAGCTCTCTGCTTTCTCTTCTTTTGGCTCGAGGGAAAAAATAGTCAACACCGTATGCGTGCTTGGGGAGCGCATTCTTGAGCAGATCTGTGACATTTCCCTTAGTTTACTTTCTTGAGCACGGTCACGTGCCAGACGCGACCGTGTACTTAAACGCTTAGACCGTGTCCCTTTCCTAGGGAGGGACAACAAAGACACTACACGTTTAACTATACCTATCTTCTTCTTGCTTTGCTCTTCCGTATTGCTCTTCAATCGTTTCACTTAATCGACCAAGCCACCCGAGCCGTGTAGTAACCCGGCTCGGTCACAGTCCTACCCCCTCTGTCAGAGACGGCTCTGTCAGAGAGACTGTGTCAAGATCGTGAGAGGTAGATCCAGGATCAATGAGCCAGCGTTGTCGCTGCCATCAGCGAGCATCTTTCAGATCGAGGCTTGATCCCCTCGCAATGAATTCCCAGATCCTGTGAAGTCCTCACTGGCCACATATAATACAGGACGAGGAAAAAATATTTCCAGATATTTGACCTTCAAACGCTTTAACATACTCTCAGTCTTTCATTTCGATCCACGAGGCGGACAAGTTCCTCAGAGAGGCCCAAAGAAGCTGCAATTTAGTAAATATATTTATTAATAAAAGAAATTAAAATAGGGAAATACCTACGCATTATATGTTATCCTTTATCTTATTAGCTTATTCTTTATCGAGATAGTTTAGAACGTAATAATAGCCCCTTAAAAGGACCTCTTTATTACCTAGGAACCTCTAGTCTCGCACAATGTCACTAATAATAAGCGGACAAATCTACAATTCGTCTCTATAATTTTATTGAAATAGAGAATCCAGGCGCTATATAAACAAGACTTTTTAATAATGCAAAGGCGACAGCTAGCTCATCTATACCTCATATACAAGCCACCATCGTTGCCATTTGGATCAAGAAAAGACATCACCACGCACGCAATCTTTTAATCTCATTACTCCCTATACGCAAACCATTCCTGGGAACCACTCCAATACCAACCACAGAGCTCCATAAACTTCTTACCGAACCCTCTCCTACCCATCACCGAGAGAAATGTGCAACATCCAGCAATACGCCTGCAATCAATGCCACCGCCTCAAGAAAATCATCCTGACACACTGTCAACCAGTCAAGCACGGCGACCACGTCCCCCCCAGTGGCCATTCATGCGCATCAAGGTCAGAGACACCTTCGTCTGGACACCCTTTGAAGGCTGCCAGGGGCTCACTATCAGCCCGTGGGTGGGTCATCAGATGAAGTGCGGCGAGTTTCCCACAGAGAAGGAGGTTGAGATTGTGGAGCAGTTTGATGCTAATGATGCGCAGAATGACGAATAAGATCAGTCCCACGGCGGACAGCGATTGGAGATGGTGGTAGTTTCGGATGTGTTGATGGAAGGGAGGGTGAGAGCGATGTTATTGTTTTGTTTACTAGGATCGAGGCAGCTAAAGAAATATTGGTCTTTACAGCAGTTACAAATAACGCGAGTGAAACTCCTTTTCTCTCTCACCGGGTCACGAAGTTCTCATCAGTTCTTGTACTGAAAGATCAAATCTGCCATTGACATTTGTGCGTAATCGGCTTGCTATTCTAGTGGTATCATCTTATTCTGTAACAACCCGCAACGAAAAAGGACGGCAGAAAGGTATTAGGGACTAATGACAGAAAAAGGGGGGCTAGATCCGGCCAGGGATCTGAAAATCGGAGACGTTTTTCATCTCGAATAATTAGAGACCGGAAAGAAGATGGCGCTTTTTTAGTCGTAATGATGCTTGATGCTGCAATCATTCAAAACATACGCAGAGAATCTGAATTTCAAATCGCGAGGTTCAATGGTCGTCCATCAATTTAACGGCGGACGGGAGGAGTGCGGGCGCCCGTCAAAGGAGGACCTTGGGAGTTCTCCATGTTGCCAGTCAGCTCAGCAACACGCGCCTTGATACGCGCTACGCGGGACTCGATTGCTATACATGGTCAGATCTTGGACGCCAAAGATTTGTGAGTTCAAGGTAGTGCTTACTCTCTTCCCCGCTTGTGTCGTCGCCATCGTCGGTAGTCTTGCTGTACCCGCCACGGCTCTGTTCTTCGCTTTGGCGTTGAGCTGCGCGCTCGGCAGCGTTCTTGCGGATCTGGGCCCATCGGTCGACTGCGGGTGGCGATCTAGGGCCATCCTCGGGAGACACCGGAGCGGACGAGTTGTCCGCGGGAGGGTCGGGGGTCTTCGCACGTCTCGCGATAGGGGGCGGAACAGCATCCTCGGAGTCGTCGTCGGGGACAAACGCGGGCTGCTCTTGCAGAGGGCCCTGGTCAAACCGCGAGAATTCGTGCCGAGCCTCGTTGGCATCGTCGGTGTCGACGCGAGAGAGGGATTCATCAACGGACGGCTCGTACTGCGGCTCGTGAGCTTGGGTCTCAACTGGGGCGGGTTGAGGAGTCTCCATTGGTGTGATGTAAGCCTCTGCAGGTGTTGATGTGGGGAGGTTGGACTCTGAGGCAGCGGGCTGGGGAACAGGAGAAGGAGCAGGCTTTGGCGGCTCGGGAGTTGCTGTCTCGCGCTGGAGCATACCGTTCACATCTGGGGCGGCGTTCTCGGGCAGCTTTGAGTTCCGGTTCTTGTTACGGCCAAAGAGCTTGCGAAGTCCACCTCCACCGGTCTTCTCCTTGTGGAGCTTCTTGGACTTTTTGTCCTTCGGGCTGGTGTCCGGTTCCGGGGTGAACATGTTCTCCCGTGCCTGGTCGTATGTGTCCTTCGGCGGGGGCATCGGAGAACTGCGGCCTTCCTCGAATCGGTCGGTGGGGTGCAGGTCACTCGGAGCTTCTGATTCCCTTTCGGATGGAACGCGAGGTTCGTCGTCTTGCGCGCTGGGGGGAAGCGAGGATGGCGAACGAGGGAAACCTGGTGAGCTCTGGGTCAATGGCGAGGGCTGCGGTAGCAGCGAGGGCGACTTGGCCGGGACTTCAGGGCGAAGCTCGGCTCCGTTGGTATTGCCGTTCGAGTATTCGTTGTGGCCTTGACTGTTGTTCCTTTGCATAGTAGAAACACCGATACCGCGTCCAGCAGTGTTGTTCGCTAGGTAAGCCTCCCGGATAGCCTCCTTATCATACTTGTTCGCCCATTTCATCGCTGGAGACGCCTGTTTCATGATTTCTGGCTGGAGGGTGAATACGCTAGTGGTCTTCTCTCTCGCCGACTCATCCTTTCTGCCTCGTCGAGCCTGCAGAATTTGCTGCTTCTCCTGCTGCTGGCGTGCCTGAAGCTGTTGAGCGGCAGCTTGAATCCGAGCCTGTTGATCGGGGCCGATGCTCGATTTGCTGACATTGGGATCCGTCTTCTTGTTGCCCTTCTCAAGGGTATGCTTGCCAGTTGATTTGCGACGGTTGACGCCCTTGTTGCGTCTTGTCCAGCTGAAGAATCCCTTCTTCTCGGCAATGTAGGCTCCCTCCTGGGGCTCGGGGGCGGCACCGGCAACCATCTCCTCCATGACGAGCCATCGACCACGTTTAATGCTCGTCTCAATCACGGCGCAGCGGCCAAACGCAGACTTTCTCTCGGGAGTCTCTTCGGGTGCAAGACTGCTCATCCAAACCCACCAGAAGCTCTCGTCGAGGTCAAAGCGGGCAATGCTTGCGAGCTCGCCAGGCTCAAGACGATCCGATTCCAGACGTGGATTATGAGATTGAGAGCTCCGTTGGCGTTGAGCGGTGTCGATAGGCGGTAACTGCTTATCGGGCGGCAGCAGCATATTCGGGTTGTTGGGGTTGTCATCCACAAAGCCAGACGAGAGGAAATCGGCCCAGGAAGGCGTGGTCGGCCGTCCCAAACCCATGTTGCCAGCCGCAGGTGTGGTCCTCAAGCCCTGGGGCTTTCGAGCCGCTGTGGCGGCTTCGTGGTCATCGTCGTCGTCATCCTCGAGAGGGCTGGTGAAGCCAATGTCTTCGAAGCGTGACCAGGATGCGTCGCGCAAGCTCGTTGAGTGCTTTGAGCTGGAAACTTGGGACTGATTGGCGGAGGAGATCGATTTCAGGACACGCCGGCATTCTTCGGTCAGTGCCTTGACAGGATCCTCGTACTCGGAGAACTCGCGCAAAGCTTGGTCCTCATCGCGATACTGGAAGTGATTGGCTCGTCGGAGTAGTGCGAAGGGGCCCGGCGAAACGGTGTCCACGATCATGACGACCCTGTATGTAGAGGACTGCATCAATGATGGCTTCTGGGGAGGATACTCGGTTTCCTGAAGCAGTTTTTGGAGAGACATTGGCAGCAGCGAGATGGAGCCCTGTGTCTGCTTCTGTGGGGCCAAAGATCGCAGGTAGGCGAAGAACAGATGGCTCGTAGCATCAGCGGCGCTGAAGCATGTTAGTGTTGTCCGATCCTCGTGATAGTTTGACTCACCTTGCCCATGCTTTGTAACCACCTTCGAAGCCACTGCCCGTATCCTTGTGTTCGAACGCCCACCATGCACCCATCCGAGACAATTTCCGTCCGCCCAATCCATTCATCTTGCTATGAGCGGCGATTGCAGACATTAAGTCGAAGAAATCGAAAATGATACACGAACGAGCTCCGTTATCCACACTAAGAGGTATGAATGTTTTGAACGAGTCTCTCGCCATATTCGAGTCTATGCGCGGGTTAGCCTACGAAGCCCATGATATGTCTTATGAAGCACCGATTGTGTTTGTGCAGCATACCTTGCTCGCCGACTTTGAACAGCTCGTACGCATCCCAGCCTACAACACCGCCTGCAAGGCGACTCCAACACCATTTCACTACGCCAGCGATGACCTTGTGATATGTTAGTAAACCAGTGGTGAGTCTGTCTTTTAGATTCACAAACCATTGGCTCAGTCATGCGAAGCTCTTGCGACAAGAATTCGCCGCGTAGAGGTTGGCTTCCATCGAAAAAGTGGCGGATGAAGGTCCGGACCGCACTAGGGTCCGAGGTAGGTCTGAATGGCAGCAGCAAAAAGGGGTGATCGAGGGCTACGTTGTGGTATGTTAGTACACAATGGCGCAATGGGCCTGAGTTCGGAGAAAGGTGATGCCAGGAGCTCAAATGCAGATGCAATCGACATACCTCTGGCTTTCAGTTCGTCGGTGCAACGCCTGATCAGATCCTGGATCTCTTCGGGCTCAACCGTCTTCCGCGTGAAAGCGTCGTCCCATTTTGGCTTCGCGGGCAGCTGATCGGCATTGTCAAAGTTGGCACCCTTCTTTGCCTTTTTGGAGCCGTCCTTGCTCTTCAATCGGGAGAAGAGGCTAGGCATCTTGTCGGTGGACTCTCGCCTCAATCAAGGCGATTGCTGTTTGGAGCGGGGAAAGGCGCGAGGCATTCGAGGTTGCGACGGTTGGATAAATGGGCAGTCGCGCCTTCCTCGACGAGGGGCAGGTCGCAAGTCGTGTAATCGAAAGTGAGACAGGGAAAGTCAAGAGTTCGATGTTGGGTGGGCTCGGTCGGTTAAGGAATTCGCCGGGGGGGTTAAGGTAGTCGCGAGAGGGTCGCGATAGGGGGCGGGAGGTGTGAGTGTGTCGTCGAAAGAGAGAGGTGCGCACGCGTTTGCTCTTGGTCCAATGTCAATAATACGTCGTTGGAACGGTCCACCACGCGAAGAGATTCCACTAGGAAATTGCGATAGCGGGGGGGGGGGAACCAACAGCTGAGGGTGAGGGTATCGGGAAACAAAGACGGCGGGGTTCAACGAAACGAAGGGAAATCTCCAGCAAGGGAAAGAATTGTGTTAGGAGAAGAGAAGGGATGGACGGGAAAGGAGAATGAGTGATGATGTTCCTGCTTGGCTTTGGGCACGAGGGAAACCGAAAAGAGAAGAGGCAGCAACTCTGTGAGTGTGACCTGTCTCCCGGCCGGCACTCAGGTAAAAAGGCAGGTCCCGTTCTTACCTTACCTCTTTCTCTTTGGCTTTTCCTAGCATTCAGGGGCGAATGAACAATCGGCGTACTATTAATTGGAGAAGGAGGAAAATGGTATTATTTGGGGGGGGAGGGTCCCCTGGAGGCTTGGCCTGTCTGCCGGTGCCTGTCTTTTGGATTTATTTTATTTTATTTTCTACACCACACTCTCCGAGTGAAGTGCCCTCTTTGCCTTGCTTTCTTTTTTTTTCTGCTCCTCTGTTTTTGATCTGTAGCCCCCCCTGTCTTGTTATTTCAAGGTGGGCACAAGTACCTTTTGTGTGACGATCACCGCAGGCGGGTACCTGACTACGACCCTGAGATGGCAACCTAATGGGGAATAGCTCTTCATGCAGCGCGTTAGGGGTGTAGCTCTTCCTCAGTCCGTGGACCGTGGGACTCTGTGCAGGCGCAGGCTCCAATGGCTCCCAAGAGTCCTCGATGGCTTTTGGCGGCGCCTGGTAGGCTCGCAAGTTCGCTGGCCCGTTGTTTGAGTCTCGACTTGTCGAACGTGGGCGGGGTTTCCGGGTGATGCTAGTGGCACTTCAGAATCAGGCACGCCGCCCGCCATGCCGCCGCAACACAGCTTTCTCTCCTCCCCTGCCTTACCGATGGAACTAGGTTGGGAGAGTGGGAGAGGCGGGAGGGGCACGACAGGCCCTGAAATGAAATTAAATCGCTGGAACGAGGATCCTGGTCCCAGTGCCACAGGACACAGTCGGCGCCAATGAGACAGACCAACAAGATCTTACCAGCAGAATCGAGTCTCTAATACCTGACACCAAGGTAGTCTAACTCTACGGATATCCGTATACGGAGTAGACAACATCGCCAGGCTCGCCTCAGGCACTGTGGCCGAAGCCCTGTCGGTTCGACCGAGTCCTGATTCAGTGTGTCCCGTAGATGGGTGACAACGGGGCGGACGTATCACCGCGGTGGGGGAAGGGTTGTTGGTGGCTGAGGACTAAGATCTCAGGCGACGATATTAGCATCACTCGGAGCAAACGGTGGAAGCGTTGCGGCGCCCGGACAACTCACAGAGACACCGAGGAGGCCGGTGATGATGAGTTGGGGCGGAGGAGAGGCTTCGGTGATGAGGATAGAACGCAAGACTATCCGCAGAAGCTGGAACACTGGACGACCAAAACCAGAGACGACGCGCAATGTGTGATACTAGGTTCGGTGATTTCGAGCTAATGCAGAGTATGCAATGCCTGTTGCCGCTGCTGCTCGAAGCAAGAAAACCTCAGACGGCCAAAGACAATGTAGCAAACCCGGCGTCGGTATCGGCTTCTTCGTTGATAGACCGGACGAAACAAGTTGAGGGAAGGGAAGCGTGCCTTATCAAATGTGTGCTTCTCTCTTGTGTGGGTATGGCACTTACTTGGGTATCACGGAAGGCTTTGCCCGTCAAACAGACAAAGAGTTGATCCCATCCAAGTCGTCCATACTCCCAACTCAAGGCCTCCTTGCTCGTATACACCCTTTCTCGTGAGATATAACCGGCCATGCCTGGTTGAGTCCATGAATGAGGTGAGACAAGTTGTCTCTGTTGCTTGTTGCTTGTTGCTTGGTCCGGCCAAGCGTGGGAACCCCGTTAGTCGTCCGCACCCTAATTGAGCCACCCTAGCACCCATTAGCCCCGTCCGCCCTACGCACCTTTTTGGTGTATTCCTTACTACTGGACTCTCAAGCTGCTTGGCAGCCAGGGTACTTAATTGATTCTTAGCTTGAACTGTGCTGGTGGTGTGTGTCTGTAATGATTTGTTAGAGCTTTCAGGACATACCTAAGGTACCTTAGGCCAGTGGCATCACTTGTACAGAGTACCTTAGGTTAGGTATCCGTACGGAGTATGAGGTAACTGAATGAAAAGGAAAAGGAAAGAAGAAAGATGAGATGCACCTTGTTGGCTCCTTCCCCGTAAAGCAAAAGATACAATTGGAAGAGTCCCGAGCAATCGCCGGGGATGGTTTCTGCCATCGCTCCTCCCTTTCCCGGGGCCCCTTTACGGTTTACCTCGCTCCTTCCACATGGCGCCGCAACCCAGTGGGGGTGGACCCTATCTCGTTTCGGAGCGTCTTCCATCTGCCTCGCCTGCTACGGGTAGATCCTTCAGGCTTCACCTCTGCAAAGCTGTAAAGGGAGTACGGATACGGATACACTTTTCATCTCTTCTCTTTCTGCCATCCATTGCTTTTCCTCGCCGACATCCCCCTAGCGCTAACAATCCCACAAGCACATCTGCGTACCTTATCCCTTGATACCTACTCCGTATACGACTACATTCACGATACCAATGTACCCCGCCAGTGGACTCTATCAACCGTTGAAGCGTTGGTGTCATTCGAGGCATAGCCTAAGGTAGATCTCAGCCCGTATTCACGCCTCCTAGCATCGGTACCACGGCCACGGCTCATCTCTCCAACGGCCATGTGTCGCACTCATCATTTCGTGTCTCACGGTAGAAAGCAACAAGGCATGACTACAGATACCTGGACGGCGAGACGCGTCTCGAACCCGTTGCTCGCTTGGTTGATGTTCCGGCGCCCGCCCGTCCGCCCCACCACAGATCCCCGGCCAGACACGATGCGGAACCATTGTGCCTCAGTTGATGGAATTCAATTGACGCAGAAGAAACAGAAATGCGATTGACATTCGAGAAAGAAATTCACAAACAAAAACCCGCCGCACCGACAACATCTGCTCAAAAGTCCACCACCGACCGCTCACAAAGGTCCGAGGAGGACGCCACACCATCCCGTGGTGGTCCAGAAAAGCCCACAGCTCAGAGTAATCTATCTCCGGGCCGCCCAATCTGCTTCTCCCTTCTTTCCTCAGCTCGCTATCAATGCCAATAATAGGTCGAGGATGATCCTGCGTTTGGTCACTTGGTCGCGCATGAGTTGGCCGGTGCCAGCACATCCTCGTCGTCACCTCATCCATCCAGAACCGGGTCTTGCACACATCCACCGAGCCGAGCACCCCGCCAGAACAAGTCATTGGCTGTGACCCGTGCGCTTGATCGTCGTGTGCTGGCATCCGCCTAGGGGTGCTGTCAAAGCCTGACGAACAGCAACCTCCTCATCACTTGCATTGGACATCGTGTGCGTCACCGATCTCTCCGACCTCAGCAAATGCTGTGCAGATGGCATTCGCTACCAAGTAATCTCTACGCGTGGCCGCATATTCGGATGGTTGGGCCAAGTAGCCTCGAAATGGATTCAGTCGCCCTTGACAGATCACTATGACACGATTGTGATAATACCACGCGGAAGCGGAAGCGGGCCACCATGGCACGTTACGTCCATGGGCATGACGATGGGCTCCCTCAAACCACCCGTCGGCGAGTGCGGCGACGCTCGAGCCTCCAACTGCGTCCTTCCCATTCCATCCCGCGTTTTGGGGATTTGTCCTGGTACCTGCGCATAAACACACCTTCGAGGGGCTCAAGGACCTGCTTGCCAGTGTGCCTGTTCACGTTTGCTCCGCGACCTCTGAGTGGTCAGGTTTGGATGCGAAACTCTCCTCTGGGCCTGCCTGGATGAGTATTAGGTGCGTTGCCGATCGATCAACGTCAGAAATGTCTGTTCAGACCCCACCCTATGGCCAACTCAATTATCGGACGATGTCTCTGGGCCGAAGGGCACTAAAGGGAGAGACGCGGTCGTTAACAGACGTTGGCAATTACGGCCCCATTGAGACGAGCTGCGCCAGTGGTCAAGATGGCATTTCAGAGCTTCATTTTGGTGACACTGTTTCTCGAGTGAGGTGACAGCCGCTGACTCAAATCTATCAAATACCTACGGCTTCACAAAGTCTCTCTTTTGATCTACCGGCATACAGCTCCGGTAGCACGGCGCGGCTGCACCAACCCTAATCTTACTCCAACATCGTAAGGACCTTATATTCCTCGCGATGACGTCAATAAGCCCCCTTCAATCTGAGGGAAAACACGTGACCACAGACTGCGCCGCGGAATGCGGTTCCAAATGCATTGAGATGGGAAAATTATGGTACATCTCAAACGTTGAGCCGCGAGGGCCTATACCAGTTTCGAGAAAACGTAGCAAAAAGGTTCAGCTCGCCGTCTAATCTGCCCAACTGTGTAAGTTGTCTTACGCCAGCTCGTACCAATCGAGGTAATCCATTCTATCGCCCACGTTCCGTTCATTATTCATTTGAGCTCTGCAAAGCTGTGAGACGATACCGTGACCCGAGGCATCACCGGAGCCGGCTTCGGGTCCGGGCCGCTGATGGCGTGAAAGATGCCGCATTCCAGAGCTGGCGCTTTGATCACCCCCGGAATGTGAGATCTACTTTACTAGTTTTCTGATTATCCGTTCTTGTTTTTGGAGTCGC